CCTTAAGCTCAGAATTCTCTTCCTTTATGGTAAACTCCTGAGAGTGTGTTGACCAAAACTGTCCTGATCCCTGTGATGTGTGGAGGCCTGTGCCGTGCACTGCAGCCCGGGCAGGGGACGTGTCTTGAGTGCTTTGCCTGCACCCAGCATTCCTGTCGTCACCCGAGGACTCCGAGAAGCAGCTCTAGTGTATGCGGGGGCCTGAGTGTTAGCACCTGCTGCCCCTCTTAGCCAAGTGAGCCGTTCTGCCTGGCTGCACTTTATTTCCGCAGCTGTCAAGTGGGGGTCGTCCCAAATGAGCTCTAGGGTCCCTCCCTCTAATGTTTGTCATTTGTGCTGCTTGTGTCACTGACGACCTGACGGGTTATGTTTAGGCTGCTCTGCCGAGACTCCGGGGGTGAGACCGAGTCGATGCTTCTTAATGAGACGGTGCCACAATGGGTGATTGACATCACTGTGGATGTAAGTGTCCTGCACTCCTGCTTTGCCCTTTTGTTCTGTCCAAATCACGAAGGAAATTAAGAGCAGCTTTAGACTGTACAGTCTTACGTTAGTAAAAACCAGGCTGCCAAAGGGAACCCTCCTCTGCTTCCCTGCAGTCCCAAAGTTGTGGAAGAAGTACTGGTAAATAGTTAAGTGTCTGTTTATATCTTTGTTGGATTTAGTTATAAACGTAATGTGTGCTTATTAAAGAAAATAATAAATGAATCAAGTGAAACTCCCATCTCTTTCCCAGTCATTCCTCTCTTCCACTCACTCCTGTCCTTCTCGCTGGAGGGGATAACTAGTCCTAGATCAGGCCACAACCTTCAGGACTTGTTTCTGTGCATACACAAGCAGATATTGCTGAGCTGTGTGTGCATGCATCTATTGTACACACACACATGCACAGTTCATTATTTTGCACAAAATCTGTTATACATACTGTTCTGCAACTTGGTTTGGTTTGGTTTTTCACTTAAAAATATATCTTGGACATCCTTCCTTGTCTATGTATGGGTCATTCCTCTTTAATGACTATATAGTATGTCTTTGTATAAATGTACCGTAAATTATTTAACTGGTTCCCTATTGATGGACATTAAGGTTGTTTCCAATGTTTTCTATTACAAGCAATGCTTCAGTGAGCATCCTTGTACATGTGTCTTTGTGTACTTTTTAGGATAAATTCCTAGAAGTGGAATTGCTGGATCAAAGGGTATGCACATTTTCAATTTTGATAGATTCTGCCAAATTGCCCCCCACAAAAGCTATAGCAGCTCTCGCCGACACTGTATGTGTGCCCGTTTTTCCACACTCACCGACACTGGGTACTTTCAGCCTTTGCTAAAAGATGGCAAATATCTCATTGTCTTAATGCGGGCTGTTGTTTTTCACATGTAGTGAGGTTAAGCATATTTTCATATTGGCCATTTGTATTTCTTCTGTGAGTTGCCTTTTACTCATTTTTCTATTGGGTAATTTGTGTTTCTTACTGATTTGTAGGATTTCGTCATATTGAATATTAACTCTTTGACTATTATCTGTGTCTCTCAATCGAAGTTTTACTTTGTTCATGGCTGGTGTCTTTTGCCAAGCAAAAAGTTTGAATTTTTATGTAATCAGATTGGTCTTTTATGGCTCTGAGTTTCATGTCTTGCTTCAGTATTTCCTGCTCCAAAGTAGCAAAAATGTATTCTCCTCTCGTAGGTCTGTGGTCATTGTATATGTCTAGATCTGTAATCTATTAGAGTTTATTCTGTTTGGTGTGAAGTAGGATGCTGACTTTCTCCAGATGGTTAGCCATGTGCCAAAACAATTTTTTGGATTAATCTATCCTTTTCCTACTAATTTGAAATGGTATCTTTATCACATACTAAATTTGTGTATACACATGGGTCTGTTTCTAGACTCTCTTATGTGCTGTTGACCTGTTTTATATATTCCTAAAGCCATATGAAAAGAGATTTAACCTCTAAAACTTTCAGAAAATGTGTTTTTTGTCCCAGATATACCTCCAAGAACTTAAAGCCAGTGTGACACCTGATGGATATTCTATGCTCTTCTCTAAATCTGAGCTCCCCATAAACCACTACTTCCTTTGAGTGTGAAAGTCACCTGGGATGCATTGCTGACTTTAGGCCTGTGGCTTATTCCTGAGAGGAGACATCCAGACAGGATATGACATGGAGGCTTGGAGGGGATTAAAACCCAGAGAAAAGATGACCAGTTAATTTTATCCTTCATCTAAGTATGTGTTTACTTCCTGGTAGACATCTTGGTGGTTGGCTGAAGTTTCCACTCTTGCTTAAAACCTCAGACCTGAGCTCAGAGGGAAAGAAAGTGGGAGGACCTGAGTGGCCTTTTCAGTTGGATGATAGGCCTTACCAGCCTAGAGTGTACGGTTTTGCTAAAAAGTGAATGTTGTGGGTTTCTCTCAAGACACCGAACTTTGTATTTGGGCCCTTAGGTATCAGCCCCAATGTTTTAATGTGGAATTGAGATTTTTATTTCTAGGGCTTTAAGAGTTAAAATTTGTTTCCCTTTAATACCTTGAATTGTTATTTGAGAAGAGGCATCCTGCAGCTTCATATTGCCACTGACGTATCATTTGTCTCACATATCTCTTACTTCAAAACTAAACATGATACTTTTCTGATAAATTTTCACTAAGGCCGACCTCGATGATTTGATAGCTTACTATACATTTCATAGAAAGTCAGTTTTAATTGTAAAATAACTTAACTTGCAAATCATGTTTTTCTGTTGACGTCATTTTCATTCATCAGCTAATCAAAATGATCATACCTTTCTACTTTTAATATTTCAGAAAAATATGCCCAAATTCAACAAAATTCCTTTCTACCTCCAACCTCATGCATCTTCGGGAGCAAAAACCTTAAAAAAGTAAGTAAGGGCAGTGTCACGTGATATCTAGATCTAATTAATTGCCAGAGCTTTCTTCTTCTTTATGATTGCTTTTATAGTAAAGGAGATCTATTGAAAGCTTATACAATTTACCATTTACCAAGTACCTCCTGTGGTAGGCCACAGATGTTCAAAAAAGTAAGACTTGGTTTTTGTCTCTTGCCACAGCATAGTTTAGGACACAATCTGTGTATAAAAACTGCTCTTATGGATGCTTAGGGAATGATGAGAGTAGGTGAAAGAAATGAATTGTGGGCTGGAGCTTTCCAGAAAGGCTTCTTGAAAGACATGGAATTTGAGCTGGACATGTAAGGAATGGATAGAATTTCAAAAGAGAGGTATTCCAGGTCCAGGAAATGGTTTGATTGAGGATGTGGAAGTGGGAGCATGCACAAGATCCTGAAAATTAACAAGGGCCAGTGTAGCTACAGCAGAGGATGGAGGGGTGGCCAGAAGTGGGAAAGGAAAGCTGAGGTCTCATGGATATATATCCGAGCAAGTAAAATCAACAAGACTTGAAAGCTTTTTGTTATGGAAATTTCCAAACATATACAAAAAAGAGATCAGGAGCATGAACTCCCCATTATCCTATCAGATAGCTCCAGGGTTATCGACACATGGCTGAACATTTTGCTTCATCTCTATCTCTACCTCGCCTCCCTCCCACCCACCTACACACACACCCCAGATTATTTTAAGCAAGTCCTAGATTCAGCTAAATTTAATGACTGAAGTTCAAGATGGCTTTCAGAGTTTGAGCCTGAGCTACTTGGGTAGGCCATTTTTAACTGACGTTAGTGATACAAGGTAAGTAGGTTTGGGGGTGAGGAAGTTGATGAATCTGGTTTGGGACAGGTAGAGTTTGAGGTGCCTGTGGGATGTCCATCTGGAGATACCCAGCCAGCTGTTGGGCTTGTAGCCTGGAGTTCAGGCAGGAGGTCTTGGCTGTAGGGCCGAGAGCCGTAGGAGAGATGAGCACCGGAGGAATTGGAGCCTGGTAAACACTGGGGGCTGCCTTCCCTGCCAGGAGCATTTAGTTTGCCCATGCTCTAGGATCGTCTTTAAGGGAATAAAACCCAGAAGGCTGTTCTTGATGTATGTGTAGGTTTTAAGAACATGTATTTAATCTCACTTTACACTTAATCTGTGTCTTAGGGGAACACGATGGGAATGTGTTGGCAATTCTAAAACTAGATTAAGGCAGTAACTAAAAACACTTCTTGGTTTATGTTTCTGTGCTGTTTTATCTTTATCCATTGTGAACACCAAAGAATATTTAAGAGACAGTATCCAGTGATTTCATGATGGCACAATCTGCCCTTGCTTTTTACAGGGATAGACTCTCTGCTAGTGACATGCTCCAAGTCCGGAAAGTAATGGAACATGTTTATGAGAAAATCATCAACTTGGATAATGAGTCGCAAACCACTAGCTCTTCTAATAATGAAAAACCAGGAGAACAGGAAAAAGAAGAGGATATTGCTGTGTTGGCAGAGGAGAAAATTGAACTTTTGTGCCAGGACCAGGTAAGTGCACTTGAGGACCACGGCCCCGTTTTTTCCGGTGCCGATGCTCAGAAACTTACATGTGGTGTGATTATGGTTCCCATGTCTCTTACCTTTGGAAGTGCTGGCTCTCTCCCACCTGTTGGTGAGGCCCTTTCTGGAGGGTCCTGCAGCCCATCCTAAAGTTTCTATTTATCCCAGTGAGGTTCTCGGGAAAAGGATATGAGATTGAAATGCACACACAAATGGTGAATGTGCTGGTGGCTTGCTTTTTTTTTTCTCCTGACAAGAAAAAGACACATGATCGCCTTGATCGGCAGAGCAGTATCTGCCGTGTTGGTGTAGGATGTGAAGTGGAAGTGGGTGGAGCATTGGGGGAACTGTTTTAGATAAAGATGCACTTGAGGCATTTCCTCAGAGAAACGGCTGAAGCTGGGATCTCTGGCCTAGCCGCACCAGCCGCGTTCATGTCTGCATGCGTGGGGGCTTTGTCAGCAGGAGCAGGCCACCAGGTATGGGCGAGAGGACGAGCTAGATCCCCTGATGAGCGTCCCTAAGCTCGCAGTAAAGGTCTCGGATATTACAAAGTAGAGGCTTTGACATTTTTTATTATTTATTTTTTGCTGTTCAGGTTTTAGATCCAAACATGGACCTCCGAACAGTGAAGCACTTCATATGGAAGAGTGGTGGTGACCTCACCCTCCATTACCGTCAGAAGTCCACGTGAGGGGTGGGTGAGCACTCCTGGGTATTCATTTACTGACCTTCCTCTATGGCCCCGAGAGTAGTCCTAGGAAGCCCACCGAGCCCCAACGGGAGCAAGACTTCTAATGGCTGATTTGGTATGGACCGAGATTCTCTTTCAGTTGAAATGACTAATAGCGATGTAAAATAGAAACCAGTCTCCATGTGTAGATTAAGCTGTCCCCAGGGAGGCAGAGAATGCGAGAACAGCCCGCAAGCACACTGTGTCTTGTGAGATGTAGAGAACGGACGGCAGGCCAGCAGACTTGGCTTCCTCCTTTCGTTTCAAAGGACCTTATCTTTGTCTGTTAGCACTTGTTAGAGACACATAGGTAGAGCCATGTCTGTCACTGTGTTTCAACCTCAAACCCACATGCTCTGGAGCTTTTCTAAGAGAGTACATTCCATTCACGCAGCACATATGAAGGCTTTTTCCAAGTCGGTCATTAAAAACAAGCAAGTTGTTCTCACATTTAAGAGTTATTTTTAATAGGAATTTGCTGTTGTACAATTCCAGAGCCAGCCCATTTCATAATAAATTATCCTTGTTGGGCTTGTTTTAATATTGCATCTCAGATGCATTCTTTTAGGAAGACCTGTAGAAATTCTGGGTGCTGGAACGTAGCACTTGGACCGCCAGACTGGAGTACGCCCAGCAGCGCCCAGGGCTGCCGCACCCTCACGGTGCCCCCAGCCGTGCGGCAGCCACGGGCAGGTGCAGCGCCTTCCCTGCCCCGCCGTGTCCAGCTTTGTCGAGGGGCCAAGCCACGTGATGCCACAGGTTTGCGCTCTGAGCATTGCGACACCATCGCAACTGAAGACCACGAGGAGATACTCGCTTCATTTAAATGCTACCTAAAATGTACGGTGTCAGAGAAAAAAGGATATCCTAGTGAGTTAACTTGATATTCACATCCTGGAAGTATACATATTTGTTTTCTCCAGAGTTTTATATGCAGGGTTTTGTTGTGGTACCTGTATCCAGAGCTCTTTTCGTTGTTCTTTCTAACAATCTGAAGCTTTCATAGAATCATTTGATTCTTGTACAGAATATAACTTATTGGGGATAAACACTTCAACTTTTGGCAGGAAAAAAAATACTTTGGATTCTCCCCAAGGTCATTTGTATTCAGAATAGAACAATGGTCCACCGCTGTAAAACTACGTTAAGACAAGCCTCCTGTAGGAAGCCAAAAGCACAAGTGCCTTCAGAGGGCAGTTTTTTCCAGTCCAGTTGCCTCCCCAGCTCGCGTGCGGTCCGTCCCCACAACAGCAGGGACTGGGAAGGAGCGGGGAAGGTTTTTTCTTTTCTACATCTTCACAGGTTCAGCTGGAGGCAGCTGATGGGCCTGGGTCCAGACCTTTCTATTTGAGATATTCTTACCTGCACAACTGTAGAGACAGGGTTCCCTCACTGCTGGTCAGCCTCCTTTGGAAAGTGGACAGGTCACTGCCTCCAGCACTTGGAAGAAGTGAGCAAAGATGTACCACATTTCCAGTGAGTCTTTCCCCCTTACACAGAGAGCAACCGGCTTCTTTTTTTAAAAAATCCTTTCTATCTGTTGGATACAACGGTGCGCTTTTGGTGCACATTTTTTAGCAATAGTTGTGAATTAATGGCAAAAACAAACAAACAAAATCCTACAACTCACTTACCAGCCCTCTGCTGTGTTTGCCGGAGGGGCCCTTGGGCTAAAGGAATGGGTTTCGCTGGGCCATTTTGCCCTGTGTGCCGAGCCTTGAGGGGCGGCTGCACTCCCTTCCTGTCATAGATCTGACCCTCAGCATGCTTTTTTTTTTCCCTTTCAGTCAGACCAGTACGTTTCCAGAAAATTTGACAGTCTGCAATGCCAAAAGGGTAAAAATCTGTATTTCACAGTTGTATAGAATAAAGGCTTTAGTTAAAATATTTCAAAGTGTAGTACACCTTTATTTCTTTCACTTGTCATTTTCCTTCATAGCAGATTACAGAGAAACTTCTGGTTCCATGTTTACCCTGGCAATTGTTAGCATCAGTACCCATTTTATCCCCCTGGTTAGGGCGGGGAGTGTGTCAAAGGGAGGGAAGAGCCAGAATCCTGGGGTGAGGGTGACTTTGGGCCATATTACCAGGCTGCAGTTCAGGGAAGGTGGCCTCAGAACAGTCCTGTGGTGATTCTCTTCTACTTCCTGGATCCCTACAGGCGGACACTGGGCTCCCAGACAATCCCAGAACCCAGCTCCAGCCCTGGCTTCGGACACAATGCCTCCCTGTTCAGCAGGCTTATCAGCTGCTATGGTAGGCTTGAGGAGGCCTTGCTTCAGATTGCAGTCACAGTGCTAGAAATTTGAAGTGTTTGCTCATTGGGGGCCCTCCCTGCATATACTTGGTCTGCGCCCTCCAGAGCAGACAGTCCTTGTCCTATGGGCCTAACAGAACTCTGAATGCTGTTAAGTGCACACGTTACAGATCAAGCGGCAAAGGTCGGACTTTAAACTGGGTAGCAGCTAGAAGACAAGGCCAGAGAGGCTGCTTTCATGGCAACCAGCAAGAAGTGGGCAGGTGAGGGACTTCAGGGGATGGGGAGCTGGTTACTGTGTGGAGCCCTCCTCTTCCTGCAGGAACCAGGTAGAGCAGAAGACCTGGCCTAGTCCTAGCCTCTCCAGGTACCTGGGGTGGAGGAAACAGCCTCCTTCCATACTCTGGAAAAGAACGGAATGGCCCTTGCCCACTCTTGTCCAGGCCCCTCGTTCCCCCTTAGGGTGGGAGCTTTGTGTAAAGAGATCCAGTCAGGAATGGCTTTGAGAGTCTGCTCAGGATGGTGAGCTTAAATTTGCCATTTGTATTCACCACTGGGGCTGCCTGGATGCCTTGTATCTATTTAGAAGAGATGGTTGTAGAAGTTGGGAAGCTGACAGGAGTCACTACTAGGGATATTGGGTCTGTGGAGTGTAGACCCTGGGGAAGAAGGAACATCGTGGTCCAAGGACAAGTGAGTCTCTGCTGACGGGCCCGGAATTTCCAACCCTCCTCTCCCAGGAGAGAGGGGCGAGGTCACTGCTTCTCTCCTCTGGCTGGGACTGGCAGACGTCAGCCTGCCGGAGCCAACTGTGCAGGGCAGCATAGAGACTGAGGGCACAGGACAGAGGAGACAGTAATTGGGGTCCCCAAGGGCTAGCTGAGCTGCGCAAGAATCAAGGCACGCCCTGCCAAGTGTTAGGCGAACACTCCAGACCTGTCCCTTCCTCCTTCACTCCATCTGCACACACGACCCTGTGTGGACCCTGCTGCCTCCTGGGCAGCCACAGTGACCAAAGCAGGAGCGAGCACTGGACTCAAGGGTACGTGGCCAACAGATGCCCTTGGCCCACGGCCTCCTCTTCCTACCCACTGAGGCTCTTTGCCCCACCCAAGCAGCACAGTCCTTTCCTCTCCTACCCCAGCTCCTGCAAAACTTAATCTGGGTGCTGCTCCCAGCCTCCCACCACCCCAAAAGGATTTGTCTGAGTGCACAATTCCCCAAAGCCAGGACCATCAGGCACAATTAATGCTGGGAGGTCATCTCTTGGACACCAGTAGGGTCTATGTGGACACACAAGCGCCCCCCCCCCCCCTCCGCCCCCCACAGCCACAGAAGTCCCTGCACATCCTGGGAGCCATCGCCTAGGAAGCTGCACGCTGGGCCGGGATCAGGCAAGGGGCTGGGCTACGGAGTGTGGCCTAAGCTGCTTCCCCACATCTAGGCCTCACGAAATGCCATCAGGGGCCTCGACACAGCCAAGGGCGTTATTCAGGGGTGGAGAGCTGGGCCTGGCTGGCTGCCTCCTCAGCCTCTGCCTCGAAATCTGGGTTCTCTGTGCTTGCCGGCTCCTCAGCCTGCGCTTCGAGCAGCTCAGCAGACAGCCCGTCTTCCGGTGAGGCTGCAGAGGTGAGGCTGTCAGGAAGGGTTAGCTGAGGCAGGTGGTCTGGCTGGGCCTGGGTGCCTGGGCTGTCCGGGAAGGAGACCTCAAACTCTGATCCGGACCATGTGGCCTCACCTGAAACATACAGGGAGGGGCTGAGGAGGCCTGCAGAACCCCGGGCCGGCGTGGCCTGGAGCAGCCACCACTGACACCACCCCCCCAACTCCAGGCATTGATGGGGAAAGGAGCTTTTGGCTGTGTTTCACCCAAAGCCAGCCTCCCACCCAGCCGAGCAACTCAGGGCCGCCTTGCCAACAACGCAGGGTCCCTCCCGGAAAGCTTCCGCAGGTGTGGGCCACTCACCGCCACGCTCGTGAGAACCGCAGCTGGAGACGTCCTCGGGCCCGGAGGCTGAGAGAGCTGTGCAGGTCAGCTCTGTGGCCGAGGGCAGGCTGGGCCAGACACCGGCGCTGCTGCTCTCCAAGGAGGAGAGACCCGACACGGCCAGGAAGCCTAGGGGAAGGGTGCGAGTCTTCGCCAGCACAAAACCCGGACTCCCGGAAGGCCCCTACCCTGGGCTCACTCAGCCCCGTTCCTGGGGCGCCTGGCCCGGCCTGAAACTGTAATCTCAGCCCATGGGGGTGCCCCCACCCAACCCCAAAGTGGTCCCCACTGCCTGCTGCTGAGGAACGAGAACAGCACAGTGGCAGAGGGCCCGCACCCTGCTCTGTCCCCACTCTGCTGCGTGACCTTGGGCAGGCTGCTTCCCTTCTGTGGACTGCAGTGCCCCCCCCCCCCCCCCCGCCTCCATCAGCATGTCGGACCGGCTCATCTGCGACCATCTGGGCATATGTGAGCTAGGAGGCATCAGCAGGTCTGAGGAAGCTTTGGCGCTGCCACGGAAGCCTCGCCCTCAACCTGGGGCCCACGTCAGCACCTTAGCCTCCTCTCCAGAGCCCGCTCACTACCTGGGTCCATGACGCGCTGCACCGGAGGGGGAGGCTGAAGAGGAGTCTCCATAGGACGTGGGAATCCCCCAAGGTCTGGAGCACCATGGCTGGGACTCCCAGGCTCAGAAAGCTGTCCCTCCATGAAGGAGCCAGGTGCCTGCAGCAGAGCCTACGGGGGCCAGGGAAGAAGGAGGGAACAGGGCAGGGGCAGTCGGGACAGAGTAGTCCAACCCCGGCCCACACTGGCCATGGAAGTACCACTCTGCGTGACGGAGCAAACAGCCATGGGGACCTGCCCTTCCCCTAGAGGGGATCTAAAGTCGGGCACAAGAGGCCTCTGGATGCCCAGCCTCTGGCCCAGCATTACCACAGACTCACTGAGGCACAGCACGAGGCTTTGCGCACCTGAGCCTCCGTTTCCCGCTCATGAAAGGAAAATGACAACTAGTGCTTTGCCGTTACCCTCACCTCCAGACCCAAGTGGCGGGAGAACCAAAGTGAGTTTCACTGTCCCAGGATGGGACCACCTGCTTCCGCTGGGTCCCAGAAGCAAGAAAAGCCTCCCAACGGCTCCACAAATAGGCCCCTGGTGACAGCAGCCTTGAGTCCTCTTTTCCCAGGTGCCAGGCCCCTTTGCCCGTATGAAGCTCCCCCTTCCCCTCACTGGCAGATGCTCCCCTCGTACCTCCATGTAGTCATCCTGCCTAGAGCCTATTTCTGGGCTGGGAGGGGCAGGAGAGTCCTGGGGGGTGGGTCCAGGTGGCGGGACATCAGGAGGCAGGACATCAGGAGGCAGGGCATCAGGTGGTGGGGCACCAGGTGCCGGGGCATCAGGTGGCTTCTTGTGGTGGCTGGGAGGCTGGGTTGGGATCCGGTGCAGATACCCGTAGCCAATACCACAGCCCAGACTGCCAAAGTCCAGAAACATTCGATCCAGGGGATTGTCCCATAGCCCTTCCTAGACCTGCCAACCCCACCGACTCCTGGCCGTGAGGGGCAGAAAGGGTGCCTCCTGGACCAGTGGTCATCCTCAGGATCCCTGGACCCAGAGCCCTGCCTCCGCCCCCCCACCGTGGGATTCTGGGCATCCATGTCCAGTGGCCAGGTCCAGCCAGGGCTCTACTGGGCCCCCACCCCGCCGCCCTCCGACTGAGGAAGTACCTGCCCTCTCCACCCCAGGCTGCGTTGGGAGTTACAGTCACCTCCCGGCAGGAGTCGGACTCGGAGTTGTAAACCATCAGCTTCAAGGGCTTCCCTTCGTGGGACTCGATGAGTGTAAAGAAGTCCTCGGACTACGACAAAGCCAGCGCCTGAGCCCCGCTCCCAGCACTGGGATTGGAGGCCTCGACAAAACGAGGCCCTTCTCATGGACAGCACCCATCTCCACACCCTATCCGGGGAGCCTGGGAAGGGCAAACCAAAGGTTGCTCACCTCCTGGAGGATCTGGTCTGAGCCAACCACATAGTCTGTGTAGGGGCACAGGCCAGCAAGGGAGGCAGGTGAAGAAGGTTCCACGTCCTGGGGAAAGAATCACCAACTACCCGTCTTGCTCCTTGAGTTGGGTATTGCAGGGGCGGTGCTTGGAGGGGGCTGCCTCTCTAGGTCCTGAGCGGGACACTTGTCCTTGGGCTCCAGGTCAGGACCTCAAGCCCAGACTCTCCTACTCCACTCCCTCATTTCCCGACCTCCCGCAGGTGCACAGCCTGCCCGGCAGAGGGCAGCACCACGGCACCGCTCACAGCCCTGAGCTCCGGAATCTGATCTGGGTTCAATCCTGACTCCACCAACCTCTAGCCTGTAACTGTGGACAAATACTTAACCCCCTAGCGTCAGTTTCCCCACAATTAAGAGGAGGATATGCAGTACTTCCTCACAGGGTTGCTGAGAAGATTAAAAATAGAATATAGGTAAAGAATGAAAACCACAGGTTGGCCCCACAATAAGTGCCCAATTGCTGTGCTGTTACTGGTGCAGGCAAATGGCTGAAGACCCCTGTGTTAGGGGCTGGAGGCAGGGGCAGGGACCAGAACTGGGTACAAGGATCATTTCCTCCCTTGGGAAACTCTACCACTCCCAATCTCCCAGTCACCCCAAGAAATGCAAAGGCATTTGCCTCATCACCCCCCCCCCCCATTGCACTCATGGACAAACCGAGGAAGGCTGAAAGGTTGAGAAGTCTCCCACGAGAAGTCAGTGAGCAACAGAGGAGGCTAGAAATCACATCAGTCCATTTCCACCCTCCTTCCACTAAGCCCTGGGACCAAGCATTCAACATTGGGGGCACCATCAAAGAATGTACATGTCGTGTGTGTGTGTGTGTGTGTGTGTGTGTGAGAGAGAGAGAGAGAGAGAGAGAACAGACACTAACAGCAACATCTGTGACAACTCAATCACTGAGATTCAGGAAGACCCAGCCCCCAAGCACCCGCCCAGGCCCAAAGGGGCTCTCAGGGGACCTGCCAGAAACGCCTGGATCCTGGTATACCTTAGAGCCTACCAGAAAAGACACGATCTATAAAGACCAGCAGCAGCAGCCTTCTGGCAGCACAAGAACTCCTCTCTCCAGTAGATGGTAGCCCACCCCTCAAAATAACAAACCAAGGCTTAGAGGGTGAGAAGGTGCCCCAAGTCGCCTGGCTAACAAGCAAGGTGCACAGCTCGGGGGATGATAAGCGGCCCTCTGGGACCCCTCTCCCAGGAGCACTGGTTGTTGGCCTCGCCCACCTGCCCCCACAGCCCACCCTTACCCCCCGGGCCGCCAGCCACCCCCACACGCCCAGCCTGCGCCCACTCACCAGCACGTGCCACACGTGCTCGCTGGCCCTGCGGAAGCTGCAGAAGCGCACGCTGGCCCCCAGCAGGCCCTGGCCGCCCCACATGTTGCTGGGCACCACCTCCACCTCGCGCACCTTCATGGTCTTCATGTTGAACACCTCCAGCTTCATGGGCTTCTCCACGTTGGCCTTCAGCAGGGCCTTTAGCGTGTCATTCTCCTTGTTCTGTGGGGGCAGCGGGGCTGATGCCAAGGGCCCCACCCCCAACCTGGGTTGGGGCCCCTCAGACAAGTTTGGGTCTGACACGGGGAAGGGCCCAGGTGACCAGTTGCCCCAGCAGGGTCTTGTGTGGGCGTGGGCCAGGGCAGGGTCTGGGCCTGCGACCACCGCAACCCCCACCACCCCTAAGCACCACAAAACCCGCCTCCCTCAGCCCCCCGGAAAATACAATCCAGAGCACCGCAGGGCTGCCCCTCTCTGACTCTCTGAGCAGCCCCTTGGCCACCTTGACACCTCTCATGCCCCGAGAGGCAGGCCCCTTAGACCTCGTGTCCAGCTCCAAGAGCCCCCTCACCGCCCATCCACCCCAGAAAGCTCAGGAGCTGGGCACTGGGCAGGGCCCCCATCAAGCTGAGTACAGGCCTAGAATAAGGAGAGATGGGCTGGGCCTCCCTCCGCAAGAAAAGGGAGGCAGGAGCAGGGTGGGGCCTGCTGTGGGACAGGACACACACACACACACACACACACACACAGGAGACACACACAGGACACACACAGACACACACACATGGCAGGTAGCACCGGGACACACAGACACACACACAGACACACACACGGCAAGTAGCACTGGGAGCCAGGACACACACACACACAGGACACACAAACTCACAGACACACACACACACAGGAGACATACACAGACACACACACACATGGCAGGTAGCACCGGGACACACACACAGGACACACACACACACACGGCAAGTAGCACTGGGAGCCAGGACACACACATACACAGGACACACACACACACAGGAGAGACACACACACACACACACACACACACGGCAGGTAGCACCGGGAGCCTCACCAGCCTCGAGTGCCCGATGGTGATGATGAAGTCAAAGTAGGGCTCCAGGCCCGCCTGCTGGGCTGGGGAGTTCTCCTGCACCTGTCCCACAGCAGAGGCCGCAGTCACGGCACCAGCCTCGTGACTCCCCGAGAAACCCCCCCGCCCCCAATGTCAGAGACCGTCCATCACCACTTCCGCTGTCCCAGCAAGGACCCGGGCACTGCACGACTGTTCCAGGCAGGCCCCACGTGGGCACTGTCAGGGTAACTCCATCCTTTCTTGCTACCTTCCTGGGCAAGACCGTCCTCTTTAGGAAACGGCTCTTGTCTGATCGTGACCCACACATCCTGCTTCCAGGGATGCCTCACAGGAGAGCCCAGGGCAGCTCCGGGGGCTTCTAGTAGACCCCACAGACACAGGGTGGCAGAGGCCTGTGGGGAAGCTGGGGCCACCGGGAAGCCAGCAGGTTTACCAGAAAGGTTTCGATGTGGACAGGAAGGGAGGGCCCCAGGATAGGTGGGACCAGGGCTGTGCTCAGAAAGACAGAGAGGGTGGGCAGCCTGTGGCCAGATGCCAGAGGGCCCCAGATACCCTGTGGTGACAGATCAAGCTCAGTTGGGCAGGCGTGGGAGCTGCTGAGGAGTGTGGCTGAGGGAAGCAGACGCAAGGGACAGGGATGAGCCTGAGCTGGGAGCCCTGTGAGAGGGAGCCCCACGAGCAGGGCCGAATCCCCGCCTCACAGCCTAGTCTCCACTACTGTGTGGGGACGGCTCCTAGCCCAAGGGGCCTCCAACCCTGTACTCCGGAACTCACTGCTGTCTCCAAACACACAGCAACCAGGCCTCCCAGCTGGGGTAGAAATCCATCTCAAAGGCCCCATTTACAGAGCCTTGCTCAAACAATGCAGCCTTTATCCCCAGGGCCGGACCCTGCGGTGGGCCCCACACCCTCAGGCCTTTGGCTGTGAGCACTTGATGTCCTGCTGGTCAGCCATCAACCCAGAGGACACAGGGCTCACGTGTCTTCAGGTTCTGGATGCCCCCACCATGGGAAGGCCCTGTGGCTTCCGCCACCCACCAGCCCCTATAGTCTTGGATTCCCCAAGCTGAAGGAGAGCTCGCCCTGAGCCTTGGGATCCAGGCTAATTCGCCCCCGGAACTAGGACGCCCTTCTAGCTAGGTCACCACCCACCGAGCCCCTGCTTGCCACCCCCAGAAGCTGCCATGGCTTCCAACGACAGTGAGCCCAGAAGCCGACTCCAGTCCCAGTTGGCCTGCGACAGGGGAGCTCTGAGCCCTGACCCTCTCTCTTCATGGGCAAGCTGGGACAAGGTGTCTTTTGAAAGCCACTGGACAGTTACTCATGCCATTCTGCCTCCCTCTGCTCCCGAGGCCAGAGCCACCCAGCTGCCGGCCCGCTGCCCTCCTCAGTTATTCCTTGGCAGCTGCCCTCCATCATTACTGAGGTCCAGAGGCTCAGGCCTCCAATCCCACGGCCCTCTCCCCACCCACCGCCGTGACCTTGTCCCCTGGCTGTACTCCACTGCCCTGGCCCCGGGCCTTGCCATCGCCCACTAGGGCTCTAGCGCAGAAATAATCTAGGCGGCTGCCACCGCACCCCCGCTCCCGCCACGAGCGCTGCCCCCTGTCCGGCTCTCCTTTGGGGGCTCCCATCACCCCCACCCCACAGCCCCTCGATGCTTGCTGCTTTCACAACACTTTCCACCTGATTTCCCCATCAGGGCATCTAATGTAATTAAAGGGATAGCAGCTGACACTTGCTGAGGATTGGCTCGGTCCCAGGGGACTGCGCCACCTGCCCTACCTTGCATTTAACCCTTTTACTAGCACCGACTTCCGCAGGAGGAAAAGTACTCCATTATTCAGAAATCGGAGCCCAGGAAGTCCAACCCAGAGCCTGCACAGACAGGTAACAACCATTTCCTGGGGGGACCCTCCACGCCTCTAATCTCACTGAGGGCAGGGACTTTCCCAACATGCCTGGCGCACAGCGAGAATGCCAGCATTTCCAGAAGGCGGCACGCGTGTTCTTCAGTTTTTAAAAAATGTAACTGGGTAATGTCACACTTCCGCAGAAAACGTCCCGATGGCTCCACGGGGCAGAAGAAAATCCTAGATCTTTGGGGCACGACAGGCCCCCGCAGAACCTGGCCTCATCCTGTACCGCTTGTCCTCCTCACACGGGCCACCCCACCTATGCACGCCAGCCTCATCTCCTGCTCTTCCTCAATCCAACCGGAGCAACCCACTTCAGGGCCTCCCTCAGCCTAGAACGCTCTTCCCCTAAGTATCTGTACTGTCCACTCCTTCCTTCCCAGGTGTCTTGATGTGAGGCCTTTCCTGACCCCTCTATCCAAAACAGCACCCACTCATCCTCTGTACACACATGCTCTACTTTCTTCTCCTCCCCAGCACTGATCACCGCCTACCATGTATTTGTATTTCTATCTCGTCTGTCTCCCTTCTCTCCGCGCCAGCAACCAAGGGTAGGCCCCATAAGAAGAGGGACGATGTCCGTTCTGTCCGCTGCTTTATCTCTGGCACCCAGAACTCGGCCTGCCAGAGCACGTGCTCGAAAATACCTGTTTTTGTGGATGGAAGACCTCCAATCCCTTCACCTCTCCACTCAGCCCTTCTCCCACATTCCCCCCCCCCACTGCCCCACCTCTCCCTCTTGCCAAGTCCTCAGTTTCTTTGCTTTCCATCAACCTGCTGGAAGATTCCCCTGATGGGATGCATTCCACTGTCCACCTTTTCTGTCAGGTGCCTGCCTCACCGTGATGCCAACCAGAGAAAGCCCATCGCCGAACACGGGTTCTGTCAACTCTGGGCCCTGAAGCCAACCTGGCTCTCCTTTTAGGAACCCCCGCCTCTAGCCTTCCCCTCAGCAGCCAGGCACCAAGCTGACCAGCTTGCCGCCCTACACCCAGGTCTGCAATCCATCCACGGTGCCCATGTTAGAACACGAGGTCCTTCCTCGCTGCCCTGTGGGTTCGGAGACCCTCCTGCCCCTCTCCCTCCTTCTCCACAGTACACAAAGCCACCCAACTCTCCATCTGGCTGCGGGCCCTCTCCTCACCTTCAGACTCTAGGAACTCCGCTCTGTCTCCCCTTTGCCCAGAACCGGTTGTCCAGACCTCCTGGTCCCTCCCCTGCTGCCAACGCTCGCCCCCCGTGCCTTCTGCGGCATTCTCCTGGCTCTCCTGCTGAGGCTCTCCCTGGCTGGCTGGCACTGCTCCTCGAGCCCCGGACCCGAGTCCTGTCCGACGCCAAGACGGCGGGAGCGCGCCGGCAGGCTCCTTGGCAGTCGGCGTCCACTTGGCCACCCCGACTCCATGGACCCGAGGGCGGGGAGCTAGGGTCTCGGCCTTGCTGGCTCTCTCCCCAGGCCCAGCAAGGAGGCGATCACAAATACGACCTAAGCGCACACGTGCGTCCCGACTGGACCTGGAGTAATCTTCACCCGGGAGAAGTGCCATTCCGGGCGGCCCGACCGGACCAGGAAACGCTCCCGCTTCCTGCATGGCTGGCACTCGGGGCTGGCGCCGGGCCGCCCGGGGGCCAGAGAGCCGCGGCGCCGCCTCCCGCGGGCGGCTCCCACCCGGAAGGAGGCACACCCCCCACCGGGAAGGAGGCACACCCCGGCCTCTCGGGGGGCCGAGACCCCGCCGCTAACACCCTCGAGCCGGCGGTCAGACGTCCCCTCGCGTCCGGGCGGGCGCCCCGCCAAGGTCACCGGCGCCGCGGGGGCGACTCACCCCGTGCAGGTGGAAGCCCTCGGCGCCGCCCGCGGGCTGCTCAGCGCTGGCGCCCAGACCCATGGCGGCGGCCCGGCGGCGGCGCCCGTGTCCCGTACGGCCGTGCCCACCCGGCCGCCCAACCGGGCGCCACCAGCGCGCACTCGCCCTCTCGGCGCTCGATTGCCGGCGCCTTGTCACGTGGGCGCCTGCCTCTCCCACCCCTGACTCTGACGCTCTTAGCAACCGGCCCTCACCTCCGTTTCCAAGGACGCGCGCCTCCAACTTCCGGCCGCGAGAGGCGTGCCCAGGACCCTGGCTCGGGAATCCAGCTCCGCGCGGCCCCGCCAGACCCGGACTCGGAGCCGCGGGCGCCTGGAGATGAGCAGCGATGACTCCTCCCTTATGGTGTGTGGTCGGAGTGCGGCCAAGCCGCTCCCTCCGGGACTCTCCGCCCCTGGCCCCGAGACCCCCGCGTCCCGCTGCTCTCCTGTGACCTCTCCGACCGCTCCTGCTGTCCCCTTTACCCGCCTTTCGCTGTCCCCGGCCGGCCGCTCATGAAGAGCCTGGCCCCCTCTGGCCTCACTGTTCCCGGCGAGCGCATCTTTCTCCTCTGGTGTTCTCCATGGGCCCTGAGCTCCAAATCAGCATCCCCACCCAGTCTTGTCCTCGAGCTGCCCCCAACCGGCGTATCCAAAACCTATCTCTACCATCTTGCCAACATCTCCCCCTCCCCTGCCTCTGCCTCTTCTGCGTCCCCCACCTCAGTAAGACGGCACCACTGTTTGATCCTACAGCCTTCACTCTTCCCCATTCTCACCTCGGGTCCTGTCTATCAGCAGGAAATGTTCGCTCCTACAAGTGACCTGACAGAACCCACTGCTTTGTATCTCCTAGCCCACGATCACCACCATCTCTCCCCAGGCACCTGAAACACTACCCCGCACACACAGACCCCCCAAAGAGTTCTCTGCTTCAGCTCTCTCTTCACCAGCAGTCCCCACACCACCACCACCGCTCACACACACACATCGGAACACATCCCTCCTCCTGCTTGAAACCATTCCATCTGTTTCCTATTACCCTGAGGGTGATGTCTGGGCTCTTTCATATGGCCCACAAGACTGCTTACAACCCAACCACATCTCCTTCCCAACCCCAGCACCCACGAACCTTAAGGGAAGTGAGACTTCACTTTGAAATCTCAGCCCTTGTTACTGCATGACTTTTGTCAAGGCATCGTCTCTATAGGCTTCAGCTTTTTTAACTGTGAAGGATATGGAGAGAATAATGCATAAGATAATGGGTATAAATCCCTTGATACGGTTCCCAACAAGTGTTTAACCCACAGTAACTTACAACTCTAACTGGTGGTGTACCCATTCTTATTATTGGCCCTCTCTCTTTCCCCTTAGTCCCGTACTAAGACAAAGCCTAAGCTGAATCCTCCATCACATCTGACCCAGAATCTGTGGACAATTCCCAAACAAGTCCAAGCTCCTCCTTCCTGGGGAACTGCAATGGAGCTACTCCTGGGGCTGGTGAAGAACAAAATGAGGCCCAAATGTTCTCTTTCCCGCCTTCTTTTTGCAGAATGGAGGAGGCACAGGGAATAGGGGAGAAAGTGGGAGGGAACAGAGAGAAGGGACTGGGACTCTTGCCACTGTGTCTTTCTCTCCACAGGCTGGGATCATTTACTATAGCCAAGAACAGTACTTCCGCCATGTGCAGCAGGCCGCGGCCTTGGGCCTGGAAAAATTCAGCAATGACCCTGTCCTACAGTTCTTTAAAACCTACGGGATCCTCAGGGAAGGTAAGGACTTGCCAGTGTTGGCCTCCTGACCTCAGACACTAGCCCAGCCCTCACACTCTGGCTCTACCTGGAATGCCTCCTTGTACCCCAGCCATGTGCCCAAGGGAAGAGTCTCACACTCAGTAGCTAGGTTCCCAGGTTAATCCGCATGGCTCTGTAAGACATATCTAGTTGACTTTTGAGACATCAGAGAGCTCAGCACCCTTGCTCTGCTCCTCAGTGTCCCTATCTGGAAAATGAGTGGGTGGGGGACATGACTGCATGCTTACTGGATGCATCCTAGGCTTGGAAACTGGGAGCTTGTAGTGCAGGAAAGGGAGGAAGGGGGAGGTATGGGTAAAGGCAGGTATGGTGCCGGAGCAGGGGAGGAGCGAGCCTCCCTCAGGTACTGACTCACTGACAGTCAGAAGGTAGTCGTGGGCCGGGGGCTGGCTGAGCCGCCCGTGGCCAACCTCAGTGGACATGGAGGGATAAGTGTAATCTGTGGCTCTTGAGCAGCTAAGCTGAGAATGCCCTGAGGTCCTTCTTCAGAACTGACCCCCCAAATCCCCAAATCCCGGCCTCACAGGTGTCCCTGAGAGTACTCACAGGTACATCTGAGCTCCAAGCCCTCCAGCCCCTGGCAGCCTGGACCATGGTGTCAGCAGCCCCTTCAGGGAACTTGGGCCACTGGGGATGTTTGGACCTATTAGCCTAATGATTCTGGGTGAAGCCAGGTGGTGCCAAGCCTTGAGTCAGCTCTGACAAGGGCTCCCATGCGTCTGCCACAGAGCCTTCTGTCCTCTGGGGACATAACCACGTGGGCTCTTCTTTGCAGAGCACATCCAGGATGCCATCAGCAACCTGGAGAGCATCCGGAATCATCCAGATGTGTCCTTGTGCTCCACCATGGCCCTCATTTATGCTCACAAGTGCTCTGAAACCATCGGTGAGTGCAGCAATGCCCAGCAAGGCCTGGCCCCACTGGTGGAAGACAGCCCCACTCCAGAGCGGCGCCCCCCCCAGGGGCTGCCATGGGAGGCGATACACCAGTGACAGCACATGCCGTTGGCCCGTGAGGAGTGGCTTCCCTTCTCTCCCCTTGGGGGCCTCAAAGAAGATCCCGTGCCCAGGTCCTGCTGAGTGGGAGCCACGGACAAAGAGCATGAGAGTGGGAGGGGGCCTCCCTCCAGATCCCAGGAGTTGGGAAGACACCCCGCTTTCCTTTGCCCAGACCCTGCTGAGACAAATCAAGTTGATGTAATTACTCCACCCCTAACGTCCATCTCTCTAGAGTCAGGGAAAGATTCCAAGACACTACAAACAACTCTTTCCCCTCTCGGGATGGACTGTGGGCCTGAGGTAGGGGATTCCGTTTGGTCTGCCTACTCGGCAAACTGCTGGGCCCAGGGGAGAAAAGATAAACCTGGGACAGCAAACCCAAATCCCGGCGTGGGCGGCTCCTGTGGCCTGCAGGCCCCGGGCTGGCGTGTGGTCTGCTGCGCGCTGAAGGACCTCAGAGTGGCCTCTGAGAGGCAGCTCCCGGGGCCCTCAGTGCCTCCCGCAGGACCAGGCAGCCCTCCTCCCTCTGACTCGCCCTCTTCCTCCTCTCGGATTCACAGACCGAGAAGCCATTCAGGAGCTTGAGAGCAGCCTGAAGGAAATCCGCAAGACAGCCAGCGCAACGGCGCTCTACTATGGCGGCCTCTTCCTCTGGCTCATGGGCCGCCATGACAAGGCCAAGGAGTACATCGACCGCACCCTGAAGATCTCCAGCAGCTCCAGAGAGGTACCTGCCTCGGGCATCGAGGGGACAGAGCTGCAGAAAGCAGCACCTGAACACATCCGAGTGGGGTGGCCTTTACTCCTGCGGAGCACCCTGGGACTGGGAGAGGGCCGCACCCGGGCACCCACAAGACCTCAGGTCTCATGGGAGCCCCCACCCACGTTGTCTCAGGGTTTAGCCGAGTACACGCTGGGATGTGTCCAGAGTCTAATCTGCAGACAGATTAGCCATTTTGTGGCCTGGACTGTATATTTTTTTTAATGTTTTTTAAACCTTTTTTTTTTTAAGATTTTATTTATTTATTTGACAGAGAGAGAGAGGCACACAGCGAGAGAGGGAACACAAGCAGGGGGAGTGGGAGAGGGAGAAGCAGGCTTCCTGCCGAGCACGGGGCTCGATTCCAGGGCCCCGGGATCATGACCTGAGCCGAAGGCAGACATCTAACGACTGAGCCATCCAGGCGCCCCTGTACTGCATATTTTTTAAATCTTGAATTAGTTGCCGACATTTAGAAATCAAAAGATTTTTACCTAAAAGCCCAGATTTCCTGGTTCTTTTGGAAAACTAGATGAGTTGGCTATGCTGGGCCTACCTTCCCTCCTTGTAGTGGTCTGCTGGATATCAGTGGTGGCCCATACAGTAGATTCTCACATGTGGTGGATCGGGACTAATGGTAGAGTTTGAAGCCTCAATCTAGGCTCAGTCTAGTCTCCACCTTAGCAGGGGATGATCTCACCCCTCAAGGGGGTGAAAATTGGTTCCCCGAGGAGGGGGTGAGAAAAATCTTACTGTTTATGTACAAAACATAGATTTACACACTGCATAAACAGATAGTGTATCTGTGATATTAAAATGTCTTGGAAGGAGAGGAAATGATTAGGGAAAATGTCTGAAAAGGCTCCTTAGGAGGGGAGCGATGGGAAAGAGTTGAGAAACACTGGTCTAGGGCATGCGGGATGCTTCAGGGCAATGGTCATCCAAGTGCCCTGTGATCTCACCTCCCAGGCCTGGCCACCCATCTGCCAGCAGAGGCTGGGTGAAGACTGGAGCAGAGCCTGCAAGCCCTGGAGCTAGAATGGCTCCTGCTCACCCCCCAAGAAGGCATTCCCGCCTCCCACGCAGTCCAGGCCCTGTGCTGGGCTAAGGCGTGGAGAGAGCAGGAGAGGCTATGCCCAGTGGCCCATGGTGGCCTCCTGATCCCAGTGTAAACAGGAAGTAACAAGACAGGTGGGAGTATGTCAGTAGGGGCAGCAGAGCCGTGGGGGTCCCGGG